CATTGCTATAACATTCCAAAGATGAAACATCGTGTTCCTTTAAACCTAAAGAAAACTGAGAAGTTACTGAAGCTACAGGCATCTCTGATTTACACTTTCCTTCCAATATTTGTTGGCTGCATATCTCTTTACCAACATTGAGTCCAGGACCTTTATTGGATTGTAAATTCAACTCAGTTTTCACTGAAATCAACGTGTCGGCAGACTTTTCTTCCACCACAGGCTTCTCTTGTTTGCCAAACTTAGCCAAAGAATCAGAATGGGTTGCAAGGTTCTGTGCTTCAACTTTAACTCCTGAGCAGTTCTCAGCATTCATTTGCACAATGCTGTCCAACCTGTTCTTATTTTCTTCAGCTACAGAATTCTTGACTGGATAAGATAAATCAGAACTCGCTCCAACACTAGAATTGGAAGGAGTTGACTCCTTAGATGTGCTCCCAGGTTCTTTCTGTGAATAATCATTTCCCAACACTGGCACAGATTGTTCTTCTGGTGGAGGCGAAGGAGGCCAGATGAACCTCCTTTTCTTGATAGGAACACCTGCAATGTTAAGACTAGACTGCTGGGCAAGGGGTTTAACCCCAGTCTGCCAATAAAAGATTAATGAATCAATATTCGGAGGAAAAACATTTTAAATGTTCTCTAGTCTTAGTTAACAGTAACTCGAAAAGAAAATAAACACCTCTTCATTTCCTGACACCGGCATCACTCCAAAGTTTGCACGTGCACAACCCTTCTCAATACCTTAACAAAAATGATTTGCGGATTAATCCCCCAGCAACGTGTCCTGAGGTGCCTTCAAACCCAACCTCAATAATTACTTAAATCAAGTTTGCAAATTTATTTCTTTTAAATAACTAAATCAGTCAATTTCTTGAGTCTTTTAGCACCAACCAACCAAGGTTATTGCCAATGGTAGTTAGCACCTGCAGACAACATAACACAATCCTTAATCAGTCCAAAACAAAACTCCATAAACAAAGAAAGACCAAGAGAAAATAAACTTCTGATCTTGGAAAATATTCAACGAACTAGATCCAAATTATGGTTGAATTATCAGCAATAAGTATCCAGTAACAATTTCATAATCTAAATAATCTAGATAGCTAAAACTCACTCTCATCTTAATACTGTCATTAATATCCAGATCTAAAAAAATAAAACAAGCTATTTCCTCAGCACAAATAATAACTAACAAAGCAGCCAATCAAAGTAACCGAAAGCCCAACTCATTCAATGAGACTGTGAATTACACAATAATAATTTGAGAACTAAAATCGAACAAAGTTGACCTAAATTCACAATCATCAATGACCAACTACCACTAATAAAACAGACAAAGCGGATTATAAGGTGAAAAGAAAAAAAGTGTGAATCAATTACAATTTAAATAAGATATTAGCAAGGATCCAAATATTTCACTTTTCAAATCAATAAATAAATTAATCATTTATAAATTAAATAAAAAAACAACAAATCTCCTTTAAACGATTTTTTTTAGCATTTGATTGGATAATCTCTACTCGGTTTCCAGACATGTTCAGATCCAAAATCGGAAAAAGAAAAGCCAGACCATTTCAGGGAAGCTAGGAGAATAAGGAGGGAGAAAAATGAACAGGGCTTGTAGACGGAATCGGAGACTAAGAGGATTTTAATTAATCAAACAAAAACACCAAACAGATTAATTACCTGATTAGAGAAAGAGAGAGAGAGAGAGAGAGAGTAAGTGATTTTGGAGAGAGCTGATTAGAGAAAGAGAGAGAGAGAGAGAGTGATTTTGGAGAGAAAGAGTGAGGAGAAAGTGTTCTGGAGGTTTCTTCGCAACTTCAGCGAAAACACGGGGAGGAAGAGATGGAGAGAGAGGGGGGGGAGGAATCCGAGATTGCTTTGATAAGTTGTTGCTTGGGGTGAGGGCCGTGGCTTTTAATAAAGTAGTCACGGTCTTTCTTGTAATTTGACTTTCTTTCTTGTTTTTATTTAAAAAAATTTAAATTAATTTTATTAAAATAAAATTTTACAATTTTAATAAGTTTATAAAAAAACAAACTAAAAAATACAATAATTCCAGATACACATTTAGGGTCGTTTATATTTATTTTTGAGGTCCAATTATATTAAAAAAAATATTTTTTTATTTTTTATGTTTTTTTTTTATTTTGATATGTTTAAATATTTTTTTATTTTTTATGTTTTTTTTATTTTGATATGTTTTTTTTATTTTAATATATTTTTAAATAATTTTTTTTTTTAAAAATCATTACTGCATGTAAAAAACACCCCTGATCTTTATTTCCCTTTGAAAGTCTTTGGATCCCACGACCACACCTTTACCTGTCATTATCGACTTCCCATTTATACGTTTCTTTCGGAACATTTCTATAAAGATCAGTGGACTTTCAAGGAATTTGTTTTTAAATTAACACATTTAAAAAAAAAAGGAAAACTAACACAGGTAAAGATGAAATTAAAAATAGCACGGTAAAAACAGTAGATTTCAAGTGTGGTATTTTATAATATCATATATAGAAATCGCGATTTTCCTACCAGAATATTATTTTTTGGAAGAAAAATCGACCACGCAGTTTTCAAAAATAAAATATTCAAACTAGAAAAAACACCCATTTTCGTTATTATTTTGTGCTACTTAAATTTTAAGCCTAAGCTTGTTTGGATTTTGTCATTTTCTACCCTCGAAGCGAGAGAGCAGCTACAAGGAAAAAAAAAAAAAAAGAGTGACCTTGCAGGAGCGCACTTGACACAGCATTGGATCGCTTTCCCTCGAGGTGGGTTTGCCCCCTAAATAAATAGACTTTAATTAATTGAGGCAAATTGCAATAATTCATTTCTTAGATACCAAATCCAAACATTCAAGGAACCTTGAGGAATAAAAACAAATTATGCAAATTGGAAAAGGTTACCGTGTGCTTCATGGGTGCAATTCGACTAGCACCAGTATAGGAAAAATATTATTTTTCAATTGTATTTTATTATTTAGGGGAAATACTTTTTTATAAATAAAGATATTTTATTGTTGTATTTATGGCTAGTTTGCATATATTCGCAAGCTTTTTCAATATCATGGAAAAAACTAGAAGATGCCGTGATTTCTTGGAAAGTCATGGCACTGGGTGGTCGAATATATAACTATTTCATTGTTTTTTTTAAAAACTTATATTTTTTAATGTATTGTCATTTTAATTTTTTTAAAATGTATTGTCTAGTTATTCATCAGATTTAAAATTTATGGTTTATTTTTTAGCTAGACTTTGCTTTTTTGTCTAGTTATTCATCAGATTTAAAATTTACGGTTTATTTTTTTGGCTAGACTTTGCATATTTTTATTTTTTACTGTTAGAAAGAAAATAATCCCACACGCACATCTAGTTTATCTCGGTGAAAATCTGTTTCAAGAAGACAATTTTAAAAAGGTAACAACACCCTTTTAGCTTTTACCATTCATTTGGCTGTTCAATCAATTACATTTACCTTTTTTTATTTTTCCTTTTCGCCTTCAAAACGCGTTACATTACAGCCTCGCAGATGCGCGTAAAATGACGTAAAATCGGTGTAGATTTTGAGGTTGTTTTATCACTCGTTGCTCGACGAGGACCCCTATCTTATCGTCGCAGTATCCACCACAAAAAGTGGCACGATACCTCAAGAGATAATGACAATTTCATAAGCAAAAGCAAAAGTATGTTTATCAGGGAGGACCACACTAGTCTTCTGCTCTTGAACTGTTGCTAGACTATACTTTCCGCGTAAAGACACAATTGCTTACAAGACTAGGCCTCTCACACGCAGAGAGATTACCCCTAATGGGCACCAAGTAGTGAATTAGCACGCAAGTATAAACTACTATTTTATCATCGGTTGCTATGAAATCAAAAGAAGCAATTCTCCTAATGGATACGGGAACCACTGTTGTGAACCTGGATTTCATCGGTGAGTGAACCCAAGTTTAAGTAAATGTTAGAAAATACAGTTGAAATTGTATTCTTTTAAAATTTAAATTTATTTTTACTAAAAATTAGTTTTTATAGTTTTAAATTGTTTTGATATATTAATTTTAAAAATAAAAAATATTATTTTAATATATTTCTAAATAAAAAATACTTATTTCTCTTGTCCACTTTACTATTCTATAACCCAAGCCTTCTGTCAAGATGACCGGATCCAGTCACAACTTTGTAAAGAAAGTTCGCTCAATTCACTGAATGAAGGGGAAACATCAAAATAAAGCCACCAAGGAATGCTGATCTATTTTTATATTTTAAATTATTTTTTTTATAAAACACTTATTATCATGCTTTAAATTTAATAGTTAAAGTTCAATTGATAAAAAGTAAAAGACTATATTTATTTTTTAAAATTTATAAATTATTTTCTAAACTTTTTTATATTTATTTAATGTATTTATTTATTATTAGAAAAGTTGTTAACAAAAAATATTTTTTAATTAAAAAAAATTATTATTTATTATTTTAATAAATAATAAAAAATAAAATATTAATAAGTTATTTTTTATAATATTATCAAATATAAAAAAATAATTTATTTTTATAAAATATACAAAATAAAATTACTTTTAACAAATAAATAAATAAATAAATAAATAAAAAGTTTTTAAACCTTGAAAAGTCAGATCGCCCTTTGAGATATATAAGAATATTAATTATTTTTTAAAATTTTTTTATTTAAAAATCTATAATAATTTAAAAATACAGAAAAATAAATTTAAAGAAAAAATAAATTTTTTTAATTAAAAATACTTTTAAATCGAAAAAACAAACGGGCTCTGCCAGAGAAAAGGGGCAATAATTTCCTTCCTTACGGGGTCAACTCATCCTCCCTGATAAGCGGAGCACATGGCCTCCAGGGTCCTGAAATCTTTCAGAGTTGATTTCCGAGGAGACCCGAACACTACGTGTTATCTCCAATCCCGCCAAGCTACATTGATGTAACCCGCCTCTATCTATCAAAGGAGCTCGGTCCACAAATTGACAGAAAGTCCAAACCATTAAGTAAAAAGCAAAGAGCCCATCAAAATTTGAGAACATCACCATTCCATTTCCAAACAAAAACCCAAAGTCAAATCCATTAACCCAAACCCTTAATTTACTTACAACACAGTACCTAAAAACCCTAATTACCAATCTAATTACAATCCCCAAAAAACGCAAATTTCTTGACAGCAATATTATTCTAAAATTAAAAGCCCTAACCACCGAACCCGTATAAAGTTCTTCCCTGCCTCTTGAGTGCGTACACCACATCCATGGCAGTGACAGTCTTGCGGCGAGCATGCTCGGTGTAGGTCACAGCATCTCTTATAACATTTTCAAGGAAGATCTTGAGTACACCACGAGTCTCTTCATAGATCAAACCACTGATACGCTTGACCCCACCCCTACGAGCAAGACGGCGGATTGCAGGCTTTGTGATACCTTGAATGTTATCACGAAGAACCTTACGGTGACGCTTGGCTCCTCCCTTTCCCAGACCCTTGCCTCCCTTTCCACGTCCAGACATTTTCTTCAGTTAATGAGAGGATCTGTGGGGAAAATTCCAACACAAAATTGGTTACCACTTCGATAAAAGTTAAAACGCCCGAGAAATTGAAATCTAGCACAGGAGAAGGAAAAACAGAAAAGCTCGGTGGAGAATTAATTAGAATATTGATAAGATAAATTGAGTCCGAACTTTCTGTAAGTTACCTGCATTTTCTCAGAAATGCATTGAAAAGAAAAAACATTGCTCGAACATTAATTGACAGGAATGGAGATTATTGAAGACGCAATTCAACATAATTGGTGGAAAACTGATGCTAATTTATTTTAGCTGCTCCTATGAAACCCTGATTTTCATTTTAATCGAAAATGAACAAAAGCGATTTTCGAAAAAGACATCAGACGGTAAAATCAAATTGACCCGAGAATACGACGTTCCAAAAGAAAGGAGAGGGGAGAATACAAAGAAGAGATAAATACCTGAACTGCAGACTTGGAATTGAATCGAAATCCAGATGGGGATACCTGAACTGCAGACTTGGAATTGAATCTCGAGGTAAAGAATCGAAATCCAGATGGGAGAGACTTGTCTGTTTGTGTGATGAGATAAAATGGGGAGACAAGTCGTATTTATAAGGACACGTGAAGGAGGGTGCTTGGGGGACGATCCGCGACGAATGTTTTGAAGAGGACTTCGGACCGTTTGTTTTCAAACTGGACGGTTGGGATTATAAGATTTGTGGCGACGCGGACCGATGACGTGGCGCTTTTAAAATACGTGCTAGCTTGGGATGGTGCTGGGATTTCAATCGTCGAGGGGAGAAGAAAAGGATTTGTGTTTTCTTGGGCGTGATTTGGATCCAATTCGAGTAAGATTTTGGAGAGTTTTGTTCAATTTCAGTTGATTTTGTTTGCGGGGAAGGTGATGCCTATGGATTGAAAATCAATTTGGAGGTCTGAACATCATAAACTCGGCAATTACAGGTTGAAGGAACCTGTCAATCTATGTATGTTCTCAGTTCCATGAAGGAGTGATCAATAATGAGGTGAGGGTGCCTTTTTTTTAAATAATAAATTAATATTTTTTTATGATTTAAATATATTCATGTTACAAATATAAAATATTTTAATATATTTTTAAATAAAAAATTAGCAAAAAAATAACATACACATGTTAAAAATTTATTTAAAAATGCGGTTTAAATTATATTTTTAAAAATTTTTAAATTTATTTATACTTTTAAATTATTTTGATATACTAATTTTAAAAATAATTTTTAAAAATTAACAAATATTATTTTATTATATTTTTAAATAAAAATATTTAAAACTACCACGGCTAAAATCTCAAAACAAACACTAAAACCTCACCTGCACAAAGCACGAGAGAATGAGGCGGGCTTGCCACAAACCACACCCGCGCAGCAGAAACACTGTGCTAAATTGGACCGGGCCTTGCCCTTTGCCACACCCCGAACCATCACCCATCCTTCGATGTTCAAAGTTCAAACACCAGCTTCACCACAGCCAACGGTACCAAAAATAGCAGGATGCTTGCGTGCGTTTTCTTCTCTAAATATCCGCAAATGCTATCACGCTCTTGCTTCATAAATCCACGGCGGTCTCTTCTTCAGCTATTCACCACTGCTCATCGCTTCCCCGAGAAACTAAATTTCTCCTCCTCTCCCGCTCCAGAGGTTTTAAAAAAACACATATTTTTTAAAGTAGGTTTTGTTTAACGATTAATAATTATTCGATACCTTTTTCCGCTAGGTACCGTTAAATCATCTAGACGACGAATGCGTTGATTTTTTGCGATGGTTGGAAAGGAAAGCTGGAGTCGAAATTTCTTCAAAGCTTTACATTGGCAAATCCGCGTACGGCAGGTTATTATCGTGCCCGTATTTTCTTAATTGGCTGATTTTTCCATGAAATACTTGATTGATGATTAATCGAAGTTTAATTATTGCTTATTATCGGTGCTGGTGTGGATTAGGGTCAGTTATTTGATATTGCGATGGTGTTTGGCCAATTTCAATAATCTTACCTCGATATAACAATATCCGGAATTTGTACCGTTTCCGATTGAATCGAATCGAATCGAATAGAATCTATTCGAAAGACATTGTGCGAATGGAGTGGTGCATGCAATAGACATAAGTTGGACTTTCGATGATCTTGATAGAGAATTCTGCAGCTAGTTGATCGCTGTTGAGGTGCGGTTGGAGGAATTTTTGGTGCTTGTTGTTGTTGTGCAGTGCTCCATGGAATCATGTAACAAATGCTTTTTCAAAAAGTGCTTACAGCTCTCTTATGATGGGGTGCTTTTAGTGATAAACAATATTGCATGGCATTTTGAAATTGAAATTGGAAACCGTGTATCCCAGCAGGATGAAAAACAGGGGAATCTCTTGGCGCTTGGATGTGTGAAGCAGTCCTTAATTTTTATAAGGTGTGCAACACCTTGGACCGAATTCAGTTGCATAAAATGTGCAGCTTGTGAAATGAGCTCATCCTTTAAGGCCTTAAGTCAACCTGTCTTTGTGCTCCTGTTTGACTGATGAAATCAAAGCTTCTCGATTCTTTTACCACATGAAAAGTTTCATAGCAAATGCTCAAGATGTGTTTGCTGGATCTGGGAGAAATTAATGATATCATTGACCTCGATCAACATGTAAATTTGGTTATACTATCTGAAAGTGGTTCCAACTAATTACTTGGCCATGGTAATGCAAATACACATTCCTGTGCAGAACTTGCTAGTTTGTCAATTGGGCTTTGATTCTTATTCTGAATCTGGGATTGCCACCAGTTGATCAAAGATAGTCTATTACACATTACTTTGGAAGGACTGACTATTTCTTGGTTGGTCAACTTGTTAAGTTTGAGCACTTCTGTGGCTGCATGAGGTAAGGGTAAACTGAAAAATTGAAGGCATATCCTGCACTCTTTTGCCCCATGCTGGAGTGAACATCAATAGAGTTCAAATGCACGCACATCCTATTTGTAGCAAATAGAGTGCCTTATCACCTTAGCTTGTGCCAGGCATCTCTTATATGCGTGTCTTTGTTTGTCTCTCAAATAGCTCACTCACTTGAAGGAGAATATTTATAGTATTCAAAGGTCTTATTATTTTCAGCAATCAACTGGGTTTCCTGCACCTCATCAGTAATGAGGAAATAGCTTAAGTATCGGAAGGCCTTTACTACAATATAGCAGCTGCAACTGTTGATGAAAAGTATATTCTATCACTAAAACACATGGAGGGATGGATGCTCTCTTTTGTCACCAGCCTTGTCAAATTTCTTTCAAAAGTAAAAAAATTAATGATGCATGTTTTGGCTTACAGGTCACTGTTTGCTTCTAAAAGCATACAAACTGGAGAATGCATACTGAGAGTCCCATACAACGTGGTATCCCTCTTGACACATAGTACTGCTGCTATAGCGGTTAGCAATTTTCTTACCCTTTTTTTTTTTTTAAGGTTGGCCAATATTTTCTTACTTGATTTCTCAGCAAATAGCACCAGATAATCTACTTCCGAAAGTTGCATCTTTGTTAGACAATGAAGTTGGCAATGTTGCAAAGCTTGCTATTGTCATTTTGATTGAGCAGAAAAGAGGGCAGGTAAGCTCAATTATGTTATTTTATTCATCTGATAAAAAGTAGGCTGAAGGAACAATTTCTTGTAGTTGCATAGTTGTGCATTGATTGACATTGCTATTTCTGACTTGTATGCTTAAATTCAAGGAAATATAAAGAAATTGATGGCCTATATATATATTTCCTGCAGGAATCAGAGTGGGCCCCTTATATCAGCTGCCTACCTCGGCCTGGAGAAATGCATAGCACGGTTTGCATTATCACTCTTTGCATTTTTTCATTATTAGGATCATCGGTTCTCGAAAGACATGAGTCTAATAAAAATATATATTTCCTGAAGAACAAGATATTGCAGGAGTAATGTCTCTCTTATTGTTTGAATTTCACTAGAAACTCACCTCTCTTGTTGCTTGATTTCTTACAGATATTCTGGAGCAAAAGTGAGTTGGACATGATTCATCAAAGCACAGTATACCAAGAAACAATTAAAGAAAAATATCAAATTGAAAAGGATTTCTTGAAAATTAAATCAGTAAGTTTATTTTGTTTCTTTCCAGAGAATCTATAATCTCATATGAAGTTGTAATCAAGAGTTTTGGAGAAAAATATGTCTAGATAATGTTGCAGTACAGTTTTGCTGATTCATCATGTCTTTCTTGCTCTTCACTTGAAATGCTTTGGGATGAAGTGGGATGGTTGTGTTCCTCTTAATTTTGAGAGGTGGTTTACAAAAAATCTCTAATATAGGAATGTAGGACACAATTTCAGGGAGCTAAACATAAAGGGATGTAGATAGATAGAGAGAGGATCATGGTGTCATCCATCGCTACTCTTGTTTGAGTGAAAAAAGTGGGCTCAGGAGCACATATTGATCTGTTTGGTCGGGTTAGAGATATGCAGCAGTATCACATAGTTGTCAACACATTTAACATCCATTTAACATTTCAGATTTATCTAACTTTTGGAAACATCAAACTTTGTAAAGTATATGCTGGTAACTGATGAGGGATTGATAGTTGCAAGGTCAACCTTGATTTTTGTTCACTCAGTATACACGTGATTGTTAGCTCTGCTTGCATTGAGTGTTGTGATTGTGATTAAATTTCGTATGCTTTCAGGCTCTCGATCACTCCCCAGAAATTTTAGATGGTATCACACTTGAGGATTTCATGCATGCATATGCTTTAGGTGAGCGATTTCTGCAGAAGTAATTGCTATCCATGATTTGTTTTCCTTCGTGAATGCCCATATTTTGAAGAGAGAAAGGTTTATTGTTTGGCCACTTTTGTGATTACTGGATTATTCTGAGAAACGCTGCATCTATATGTAATTAGTTTTTATGAGTCAGTCTGTCATAACCAAAATGGAAGGATGGGCTCTAGGTAAAGAGTTACGTGGTACTATGCTACTGTACTGATCAACTATGATTTCAAAATACTTAAGAAGCTTCTGAATTATATTTCCTGCCCTGATTTTAGCTGTAATTTTCTATGTCTGTAATCTTTCAGATTCTTATGTCAACTTTCTTATGCATGTGACAGTTAGATCTCGAGCATGGGGAAGCACAAGGGGTGTATCCCTGGTATTGCCTTTATAATGACATCATTTATTTTGTAGAACATATTTTATATTTGCTTGTGGTATATCCTTTATTTGTATAGTGTTTTATTTGAATTGTTTGGTTATTCCATAGATTCCATTTGCAGATTTTTCAAACCACGATGGGGTTTCTGAAGCATTCTTATTAAATGATGAAGACAAACAGGTCTCAGAGGTATACACTTTCCTTTTCTTTTTCTGTATAAGAGTTAAGAGTTTAATACTACAACAAAGTGGGAATATTTTTTTTTTTTAAATCTTCTGTCATTTCATAAAATCTCCTGTTGTTATTCAAGAAATGATGGTTGAAAAAAACTGTCTCAGAGTACTACAAAGTTTGAATCACAAAGGGACCCTCTACGATGTATTGTTTTGGCTTCTATTGATCTCAAAGAACAATGCCCTATAGGAGATTTTATTTATTGTTTGTTGGAGATTATATTTATCATTTATGTATTCTGCACATGTTTTCAATTCTAATTTAATTATTTAAATCCATGCATGCAGGTCATTGCTGATCGTAATTTTGCTCCTCATGAAGAGGTTAAATACTGAAATAGTTTCTTTTCTTTAACAGTAATTATATTTTCCTGCCGAAAGTAGTCTTAGATTTTCTAATTAGAGAACTGAGCAACGTGGGACTAGCATTTCGGATTCAAAGTTTTGCTAATAAATTTCTGCCATCTTGCCATTTACACAGAAGAAAACTGTTATCAAATGATTAGCAATAAAGGTAATCACAAAAAAAAAAAAGTGTTCCATTTGCAGTAGTTGCAAAATACTGTTAATTCTTATAGTCACAAGACTTATGCATTGTTATTGTTGTTCTTAATAGTTGTAGTACCATAGTGTTGATTCCATATGGTTTTGGTGTGTCACACATGCTTCTTATGAATGCATATCTGGTTCTTTTGGGGGCCATAAGATTGTACTTTTCATCTTCCGTCACCCTTGAGCTGAGAATTTAGATCATCTGAAACACCTGTGTAGGTGCTGATCAGATATGGAAAATTTTCAAATGCTACCTTGCTGTTGGAATTCGGATTTGTAGTTCCACACAACATCCATGACCAGGTTAGTCTTGAATTTAAAGCTGCAAAGGTGTCTAATGGCACTTTGTCGTAGCAACATCCATTCGGATTTTGCTTGCTACTATCTTGCCTGTCAATGTTATCAACCATAAATTATTCTATTGAGCAGAAACACTGTCATTCCTATTGTCTCTTTTGGATTCTCTTAATTAGTATTTCCTTGTACTTGAACTGATTCTTTATTACTGCCTGATGCCCAAAACTATTTTTTATGTCATATTTTGTTACTGCCTGTTTTTCTATGTTCCCAATTGTGGACCTATCTCTTACAAATGTTGTTTGTATTCTCAGGTCCAGATTCACATTGACGTGCCCAATCATGATTTTCTAGGTGAAATGAAGTTGGATATTTTACGAAGGCATCATTTACCAACCACAAGATATGCCAATGACTTCAAGTTTTCAGGGGATTCTTTCATAATCAAGTCAGTATTGTGGGTTGGTATAGTAATTGTGCTATCTTGAACTTGTTTTGATGAAAATAAAACATAGAATAGGAAGCCAATCTTGAATATGAGTAATAGTGATGCTTTTGGTGGACCCTGCTGAAGTGTTTGCTTCACTTTAGATATTATTTTATGATCACAGCTCGATTTCTTCTGAGCTTTAGTAATTCAGTTCTTCCTTTTAGCATTTAGAAGTGTCAGCTAATGTTTCTTATGATTATAACCAATGTGGGCAGTGCATGTTAGCTAATGTAATCTTATGTCTGCACTGGCATTAGTGCCTGTGTTGACGTGACATGATGATTATTTTTGTTGATTTCATCACAGGGAAGTAAGGTCCGCTAGAGGCAAAGGAAAAGGTCTGCCACAATCACTACGTGCATTTGCTCGTGTTCTTTGTTGCAACTCTTCTCAAGGTGTGCCTCAGATTGCATTCTTTTACTTTGTATGAAATCCATGTCTCAGGACCTGTAAATAGGGCCACAATAGTCTTGAAAATATTTCCTGATTTATAATTGCTCTTCAGATTTAATTGATTTGGCCATGGAAGCTGAACAAAATGATGGTCGTTTAGCTCGATGCCCTTTAAAAAATAGCAGCAGGGAGATCCAAGCACATGAGATCCTGTTGTCAAGAATCAGTCAACTTATTGAGGAATATAATGTATCTATGAAGGTGAACATGCTTATCTTCCCCTCATTGATTGATTGGAGCTGCAGGTTTAATTTTACTGTAAAGAGTCAAGATTAGGTATTGAAGTTTTCAAATGGGTGAAGCATCGGATTTTGTTGGCTCAGCTCCCATGGCAATTGGTTCTTAATACAAGTTGCCAGGATATTGACTGTTTCCCAACATGTTAATAAAAAAAATACATGATAGATATTTGGTTGGTAAGTGGACAGTAATCTCATGTTGCATGTTATTTGCACAGCTATTCCTTCATCAATTCGTTATGCCCCTCCATTCGATTCCCCTTTTACAGTTTCAGCCATTACTTGCTTGTTATGGTATCTCTTGCATCCTGTGAATTTCCTTCTTTTTTTTGTTTTTGAAACTCTTGCGCCTTGTATCTAGACTCTTACTGGAACAAATTTTTTTCCTTTACGGGCTTTTTTCATTTGTTTTAAGCCTTTTCATGCACTGTACAGTCATTGGAACCACCTGTTGCTGCTTCTGTGTGCAAAAGATTTGCTCTTCGAAGGCAGATGGCTCTAGATCTCCTCACTGGTGAGCTTCTTGTCCTTGAATCTGCATACACATGGCTGAATAATTACTGTGCTACCTTGTTACAGCATTCCACTACCAATGATGATGCCAGTGCCTGTGGGAATATTCGGGAATGAACAAGTAAATAAGAGCAGAATGTTCATTTTCTCCGTCACATCCTGGTACATGTAAATTCATTCAAAACTGCAAGCAGGAAGTTCAGAAAGAAGCCAGTTTCTAAAGCTAGACTGACGTCCAAGTGCCCTTCCTGGGTGTTTACAAACCTGCAACATTATGCCGGAAATCCCGATTGCAATGAAGATAGTGCAAAGTACATCGGTTTTTTGCAACGTAGGGTGCCACTAAAATTTAGAAGCTACTGTACTACAGCTAAGGTAATGCTGTTGTGTCCATACCAATCACAGGATTTCGTTAGTGCTGCCCATTTATTACGATATTTGAAGCCGAAGCAGCCTGCATTCACCCTTTTCTTTCTCTTTGTTTTTGTGTGTAATTATGTGATAGTTATCAGAAAACAGAGTAATTCTTGTTTCGATTTTAAACCAAACAATTTGCTGTGCTCTAGGCCACCGGCAACTCGATGACGGGTGGAACTTAACGGCATATACCACCTTCTTTTATTCTTTTTACCGTATGGAAAGGGATCAGAGGTGGCCCCAACTACAACAAAACCTGAATAACATAGATATTCCAAGGTTTAAAAGCCCCACGCTATGCTTGTCAGAGAGCAAAGGTCACAGGGAAGTGGGCACCCTGTCAAAACCGGTCACCCCTTGCTCCTATCTAGCAAGCCAGTCACCGCAGGTGATAAGGTTTTCACCTCTCTGTAGGCCTGTACATAACCTGAGTTTTTGGGGACTTGAACGCATTTTTTTTCTAGAAATAACTTGTTTCAGAAAACATTTTAAAAAGAATATCACAATTTAAAGAGTTACATATATTTCAAAAAAAATATAATTTTTAGTGTTCACTTCTTTTAAATTAAATTGTTAAATAGCATGTAAAAATTCATAATAAGGAGCGAGGATAAAGAAAAAGAAAAAAAAGATCCTGAAAGCTAAAACTTTGATAATAACACTATCATTATAAAAATCTTGTCGAGATGAGTTCAAGGATACTAATAAATATCATGAATGATGATCGCAAAGGGTCGCGAGTTGGTCCTGTGGTGGGGGGCTTGACCAACTTTGGGAGCAACAGTCCCAACACATCTACCACGCCAATCTCTGACCGGCGTCGCTAGGATTATAATTGCTCTCCCTAGATTATTCTCACTGGGATTGCCTATAGTTCCTTGTACAATTTCAAACCTGAGCCTCCAACGCACTGAGGAGAATCCCTTGTGCTACAGTTTAGCAAAATTGATCGCTCGAAAGAAAAAGATGGCCCTATTGCATCTGGAATATAACAAACAAATGGGGCACGACTGTTAAGAACAAACAGTTTGCTTTCTTCGCAAGGATGTGACCACATGCTGCAGACAGGTTTAAATGGTACATTTTAATTCAGAGGAACTGGCTACATTCTGGATCCAGGCAACATTGAGAAAATGCAAAGCGTAGATGACTGGATATGATCAAATTCGCAATTGCAAATCAACTTTAGTCAATCGTGAACGGCTAAGAAACATGCGGTCAACGCCATATTTAACCAAAAAATAAAAAGGAAAGAGAGAGAACAAAGAAAAAGAAAGAATCTTTCAGCATATATACAAGTGGGAAGTCTCCAACACAGGTATCAGATCAAGGTGCGTGAGAAACTGCCCCGAGTTATTTGAGTGTTAATGAACATCGCATCCTGTTGCTAGTATTCAAAGAAGATGCTAGAACTCCTCATGATTTAAGAGCCCAACGCAGAGGATATTTTCCCTTGAATTACACAGTTTGCTTCAAGATCCAAATTTATGATATATATGCCTTCACCACCTCCGAATAGTTGCAGACTAAACCTGTCCTTGGACAGGTTATTTTACCATCATTTCTCTTGGCCATTTCTTCAAGTGCCTGCAAAAGCAACAAAGACGTCAAACTAATCAGACTGGTGCAGCAATGTGCTTAAGAGATATCTTTATACCACATGCAAAAATTGAACCTTAGTGCTGTAAACATAGCCGTTAGGCAAGACTTGGGGTGGGTTCTCTGTGTCCATTAGTTCTTTAGTAATGTAGCAAACTAGCTTTGAGTGGTGCTGCTTTGAGTATGGCAATGGCATTGCCAACTTCCTGAAGCTCTCCTGTGACAGTGGATCTTCCTTGGTGCAATCATCTTCATAACAGTAGCTAAAAAGGGTCAAGGCAAACAACAAACACTTGGATAACACATCAAGCAATAACTCCAGTACAGAATGCTGCCTTTCATCCGTGAGAGAGATGCAAGTCATGATGTGGAAACTGTTAGATCACTGTATCATTTAGTTTTTACGAACTTTGCCATCACAAATTATAACATATTGAATGAGACTGGCAAGGGATAAACTCATCTTCTCTAATTTTTTATTGTTTGAAGCACTTTGCTACCATAGCTTATAATGTATCAAACAAGACAGGGTGCATGCATGTGCGCACGTGTGTGGGTCGGGGAGCAGTTGCATGGTAACAAGTCAATTAATAATGGATACGGAGTTTTCAGGGCGGATAACCCTGCCTGTAGAAATATATTCAGCAACGGCTCTAGAGTCATGCCATATAACCTGCAGAATTCCTGTTTAAATTGTTCTACCAAGTAGTCCCATTGCTTTGGTTCAAAAAAAACCTGAAACAAAACACCAGGTATCAATCAGTTTCTCCCATTAACCTGTCAAGGGAGAAAAGAGCAATAGAAACAAGCATAGCAATTTCATATCCACAATCTGTCAGATGAATCTACCATAGGGGAGATATATCTGGACACAAGATAATGTGTAAAGAAGAGCCACAGATGTAAAATTCTCTAACAGGTATTTCCAGGTCTATCACTAAATCACACACTACCATTAAAATATCCAAACTGAGTTTTTTTCCTACCAGTGCATAGATGAATGTATATAGAAAACACAAGCAACAATTGACAGAATCAAACTAGAATACCAGAAAGAAATTGGGGAAATGAACAGGACAGATTTTTTTTGAAGCAGAAACTAAGTTTACATTCACTTGAAGTCCAAAAAGTTTCATTCCAGAGAAGGGCCTGAATAAACAGAGTACAAATCCAGGTAACTTTAGATTTCCCTTCTGTACTATTCATGGATGTTTTAAAATGAAAAATTCTGGGTATCTTATCTCAAGTTTGGTTTTGGTGCAGCTTGTTCTGGATGTATTGCAGATCTCAGTTTGGTCATTTCCATTGTTGATACATCTTCCAACTTTGCAAAAATCAAAAGATCTTGGGCTGAATTGAAATTCATCCTAACCAAACCTCTAAATTAAATGCTTCCACATGCAGTCAATGTAACATTTTGTGTACCAAAGTCATGAAGAATGCTGTCATTTGCAGTAAAACATGGCCTTTATTCACTGAAACCAGGTTACCTTATAAACAGCACAATCAGGATTGCTCTTAAACGCCACTATTGCAAAGACCCGCTGCATTTCTTTCATATGCGTTGTTGCCCATGGTGCGAGATACTTCCGAGCATATGTAATGGCACGCAGGTGGTCTTCTGCTCGTACTAACTCTACGTATTCTTGAAGTCTCAACTGGAACTCAAATTTGCTCTGTCATCCATGAAAGCAGTGGGCATTAAAAGTATGCCACCAAATGTTTTAGAATCTTAAGTAGTTGCTGTCCAATTTTGCAAAGAAACTACCAACATTGATTTAGAAGTATTAAGTAACATCAAAATAATTGAAGAAGCATTGTCAGATAGGGGGTTCCTTCACTGCGATGCAAATGCACATTTTAACATGAGTTTGAAGATCAAGGTATGACATGAGATCGGGGATGGAAATTTAACTAAAAGACATACTCAATACTATAGTGTCTAAATTAGAATATTCTTGTTGAGGAGATAATAACACTGAGAAACTAATCATTGAAATGTTAAGTCAAACCATTTATAACTTTCTTAATATTTAGGGGACTATGATAGGTGGTTAGACATTATACTTGATCTTCAAATAAAAATCAATCAATTATTGGATTGATAATAAATTAAATTATTGCACATTTTAACATGAGTTTAAAGATCAAGGTATGACAAATCGCATAAATAATCCCCAGGAAAAAGAAATATGTTTTTCTGCAGTTATAGAACATTTCAGTTCTTGTCAAAATCAAATCCCCAGTCCATAAAATTATTTACAAGAGAAGGACTAGAAAAGATTAGGTGGTAATCAAGAATTCAATCCAAGACCATTTAACATCTTTTCCAGTATCAATTGTCAATCAAACACACTCATTTGTTTAATAATATAGAACTTGGTAACATTCATTCCAGGATCAGAATTTCATGCACTGTTTGCAAATGTTTCAGTTAGTGGCAATTCCTAGAATAAGCACAGTAGAGACCACAACATGTCCACAACTTAGTCATGAATATACTTAGATACTTTAATTCTTATTTTATCTCTAAGTATGCTACGATTAATGAATATACAGCATGTCCCAACTTAGTAATGAATATACTTAGATACTTTAATTCTTAGATTTTATCTCTAAGTATGCTAGGATTAATGAATATACTAAGGTTATAGGATACCTATTTTAATTCATAGATCTAATTCTAGCTGAGCACGCACACCAAAAAGAAGCAGATCCAGCAACTGAGATAATAACGAGGGCAAATTTTTTTAGCCTCTATCCGAGAGTTGGCATTCAAAAATGATTAGCAATTACCTTTGACTTCTTCAACCTTGATTTGTTATCAGCACACCATGCTAAAGCAGGAGCTACCTCCCTTTTTTGAAGAGCATCAATAACCCTTTTCGACTCCAAAAATACATCAATGTCAACAAGATCCTGGCATTGAATTCACCAAATTATCAGAGCATGCAACGTAGTTACCGGATATGCTGCAGCATAGAAGCAACATCCACAATTATAAATTACCAGCATATCGCTGCTTTCAGCTAGCTTCAATCCAGTATCGTAATATGACATTCGTAGCATATAATCTACAAGAATTCGCTTCATCCGCGTGTTATTCCACTCTGATAGATTCTCCGCATCAGCTGATTCTAAATGATCGATCCGTGCTCGACACCTCTGCGCTTGTAAGTTCTCTGTCCGGCTTCCCTCTTCCAACTAAATAAATGTATCAAAGTACGTACACACTAAAATCACTAAAGCTAAATCCAAAAACAAAAAACAGAAATTCACCAATCACATCATTATATGTCACTCGAAAGCACCAATAATTAATCATCTGACTAAATATTTCACTTCATAATTCGATCGATGAAATGTCAATCAATTTCTCCGTTTATTAAACCACAATAAAATTCAAAAAAAAATTATAGTAAAAATCAAGTAAAAAAATCTTCTAAATCCTTCCAAAACAACATTTTCTTGAACTAGTTATAATCATCTCTCATCATTGTTAAATTAAACTAAAATTAACAAAAAAGAACCACAATTAACTAAAAAATTAGCTAAACGACATCGACTGGGTCACTTTCATTTTTTAAAATCAGTATACCTTTCTTTTCAGTCCTTGCAATCTGGAAACGAGAGAAGTGAGATGCTGAACGGCATCGTCGTTGGACATGTCAGAGTCAGCGGCGTCATTAACGACGGAGATAACGGAAGAGACTTCCTTTTCTACGGCGCGGTGGTTGGTACGGATCGTTTTCTTGTAGTGTTCGAAAGGAACCCGCAAGAACTGGTGTTCAAGTTTCAAAGATTCAGTCAGTTGCGTCAGTTTTGAGGACAGAGCCGTTGACGGAGTAGTGGTTGAGGTTGTTGTGGTTGGGATTGTGGAGTTGCCGTTAGGGAGGGAGTCCATTTCCATCGTGGAAGTAAAATCAAGATTCGCTTGGAATTGCTGAAGATGGAAAAGAAAGAACGACCAAAGCAAGCAAAGTGCAATTATTGGTTTTGGAAAAACGACATGCGTTTTGGTCTTATTCTTTTTTTTCTTTTTGGTTAATGGGTGGTGTTTGGTTGATGGCTGTTAGATAATCTGGGCCAGCGCAGGACAGCGGGGTTTTAAGTTTGGATTCGGTGGGATTGATATTGATACGCATACGATGGTTTCAGTAATTTGGGTAGAGTTGTAAACGACGTCGGCGCTGATATGGGTTGGCAATGGGCTTGAGGCCCATTCACTTGTATTCGCTTGAGATACGAGTAGAATCAGATAAGTAATGGCTTCCCGGTCTCTTTTGTAAATCCAAACATTCACATATGAGCAAACTCAAATTCCAACAACATCTTCAAAGTAACCAGATGATCGTGCTACCATTTAAAACATTGTAAATGGTTGCATTAAATTAGTAGGTTAAGACAAAAATACAGAACAAATGCTCAACTGAATGTGTTTCTTTTTATATTTTAAAAGTACTTTTAAAAAAATTATTTTATTTTTTTAATTCTCAAATCCATTTTAATGTACATTAAAATAAAAAATAATTTAAAAAATAATATTATTTTAATATATTTTCAACTAAAAAATACTTTAAAAAATCATTATTATTACCCTTATAAACACCAAGTTAATCTCGATATTGACTCGTTTTACAGCCAATCCAGCATCACCGTGCAAAACTTTTTTTTTTCCCGGTGTGCTGGACTCGAAACATGATCTCAAAATACTTAAATGCGGAACAATAACATGGAGATATTTTTAGTTCGTGTTACAATTATTGTTTAAGACTTTAAGTATTTACTCGCTAGAAGGAGCAAATTAGTAGATGCTTGTATTTCAGCTTGAATTTGTTGCAATATCCAGTTCGACAAGTGGATGGATGACGGTGAAACCGAACAACCGGTGACCTGCTGATCGTTTCTCGTATCTCGTAAATATTCGGTCGAATTTTACATCACAAACATGGTAGACGAGTAGCTTATTTAGGAACGCGGCTAATTTTTTTTCCTGAAAAAATCATTTAGTTTTTTATATAAAAGATATCTAAATGTATTTTAAAATAAAAATTATTTTAAAAAATAACTATTATAATAATATTAAATTCACTCGAGATTTTTAAAGGGAAATGTTGGTGCTGATTGAAAACATGTTCATCGATTTACTTGTTCATTTTTTAAATCATTTAGTTTTTTATATAAAAATAAAAATTATATCTAAATATATTTTTAAATAAGAATTATTTAAAAAATAATTATTACATCAATACTAAATTCACTGGATATTTTTAAAGTTAAATGTTTGTGCTAATTGAAAACATTTTTATTGATTTACTTGGAGCTTAGAACAATAGTTAAGCTGTATGAAAGGGTGTTAAGAGTTGTTTTTTAAAGATTTTTTAATAAATTAAAATAATAATTATTTTGTTTTTAAAAATATATTTTTAATATTAAATCTAAAAACATAAAAAAATATTAAAAAAAAAACATTTCTTATAACTGATGTTGTTTCACTACAAACAATTACTATGAAGCAACACCTCAGGCAAGGTATATTCAAAGACAGTTTACAGGGACACAGGAAAAATATCACGGATTAAAAGATGGAATGGGCGAACAGTACGCGGAGAACAATATAAAAGTTGCAGTCAATAAGATCCAGGCATGCTCAATGTTAATTTTGGCTGGATTTCAGATTGTAGTTTAGTTTTTTAAATAGATTTTATTTTGTTTCTAATTCAACTAATTAACTAGCTTCCTTTTCTTTTTCTTTTTAACAATTAATTAACTATAAAATTTAAAAACAACAATACTAAAAGAAGCTCTAATCAACGGATAAGGACGACGTAGAAAAAGGTTCGAGGGTCCACGCCAAACACATGAGAAAGGTTCCAACAAGGCAACGACAAGAGGATAGACCAACATGCCTTATATACACCTTTTTAAGGTGAACTTCCAGGTTGCAAAATGCTTTTGCACGGACAACAGGCGCTGCGAAGCTGCCGCATCTATCATTCTTGGATGCAGCTGTTGACCAACAGGATCTGTTTGTTTTTTATTTAAAAAATGTTTTTAAAATAAAATAAATTTTGTTTTATTTTTTTACATTAAATTAATATTTTTTTAATATTTAAACATACTAATATTAAAAATATTTTTATTAAAAAATAAAAAATATATTATTTTAATATATTTATAAATAAAAAAATTAAAACATTTTAAAAAATAATCACAATTATATTCTCAAATACTTTAAAATAATATTTTATTATTATAATAGTTATTTTTTAAATTTTTTTCATTCTAAAATATATTAAAATAATATTTATTTATCTTTAAAAAAATTATTTTTGACATTAATATGTAAAAATATTAAAAATATATTAATTTTAAACAAAATAATTAAATAAATAAATTTTAAATTTTTAAAAAAACAATGCAATTTCAAACATTGCTTAAATGACGGGCGGCATGTACCGGCTATTGTTCCCGATCCACACTGTCTCGTGCAGCCATAATCATCCACACAACATCCACTTGTCACTGACAGAAGTCCCTGTAGGGGAAATTTCCTCAACTTGAATAGCAGCAATTGTATTGAGCAGATACAGGAGGTAAAAAGGCAAAAAAAAAAAAAAATGTGTAATAACGCATTTTATTTTCAAGGCCACTGTGCCATTTTCATGTTGATTGTGCTAAATTTTCAACTTAATCATCATTGTGGACATCTCAACATGGGGAAGGAAGATGATTGCGATGCTTAAAAAGCTGTATGAATTATAAATACTAATGATGTAGCGTAGAGGTGATGCCCAAACCCATCATCCAAGCCTCTCAAACGTTTCCTTTTCATTGCGTTTACTACAATCTTCTTCTTCTTTTTTCATCAAGAATCAGAGGTGTTTAAAAATATGACATGGATTGTTTTTAAAAATAATTTTATCACATTAAAACAATTCAGAAATATATAAAAAAAAGTTAAAATAAAAAAACTAATTTTTCATGAAATCGTTGTTTGGAATGTAATTCAAAATAATATCTTAATCTTAAATATTATTCTTTTATTTTTCTATAACTTTTTCCAACACTCAATTTAAATGATATTATAAAACAATAAAACCATACTCTTCAACACTTGTACATAGGTAGGTTTTTAGAATAATAGATGTTTTTTTTTTTAAAAAAAAAACATCACAGCCTTTCGCTACAAATCGAAATTGTACACACAAAAGGTCCACTTTAACTACCCTGTACAAGGCTCCACTAGATCCCAAATTCCGTAATCACCCGCTCCTCCTCCGCTATATCCGCGGCAGCCAGGTATTTTAAAATTTTCTTTACCTTATGACCAAAGTGCCCTCCTGTATTACCCTCAATTTCTGTCTGGCTCCCTCACTTTCCACTTCGCTTGGTAGCCCCTCTCCTTCTATCTTTTTCTCACAAGTTCCTCTCGTAATCAAAATCAAAATCACTTCACTTTGTCACTGGCCCCAAACAGCAACCCCCTTTCTCCCTCTATTATTTCCATTTTGATTTCTGAGACCTAAAAAATCACATTTTTTCACCTCACTGTTAATTCATTTCCTCTCTCAAAGCCGCCCTCTGACGCCGTTACTCACTGCGGCCCTGTAAGATTCCGTTTTACAAAAAAGCTTTCTTAAATTTCGGTTTCGTAATTGTACTTTTTTTTAAAAAAAAAGAACTGTTAATTATTTTTTGAAATTTGAAATCCGCTTGAGAAACTTGATTAATCACTCACTAATGCTGCTGTATCTGCTTTTAATGGTAAGTTAATTAATTCTTAGATCACAATTTCAAAAAATATAATTACTGGCTTCTTGTTTTGGTTTCTTTTTAATGGCCCCAATCCCCAAGTGTCTTTAGAGATTTTTGGCCATTAGCGGTGCAAGAGAGGAAAGAAAGAACAGTGAACTTTTTATTTTCTTGCAAGTGAAGCTTGCATTTCCTTCCCTTCCCTTTCTTTTAATTTCCTTTCTTTGTTTCTTGATTCTGTTTGTTTCCTGAGAAAGTAAAGGGAACGGAAAGGATAAGGCACGAAACTTGTTCAGGTACATGTGTTTTTTGTTTTTCCATTCTTTTTGGAAACTTTCAATTACCGGCAACTGTGTGATTTTTCAATATCAAGTTTTCTTTTTCTTTCTTGTTTTATTAGTTTCTCAGCAACAAAAAAGTGTTTTTTGTCCTTGCTCTTTAAAACGAGATTAAGCCAATTTTCTTTTCTTTTCTTTTCCATCAGTTTCTCAGTCTCCAAACAGTATCATCTCCTTTTCTATTTTACTTTCTCCGGAATTGCAATTGAATCTTCCTTTTCGTTAATCACGATATTGTTTTGATTATTAAAGGCTAACAATATCAGATTCTGTTTGTGTCAGATTTATTTGATTTTTTAAAGTGTGGTGGTTGATGGAGATAGAGAGGGTTTTGGGGTTTTTGAGAACCGGAAATGGAGGGGTAGTTTGATATTTTTGAAGGTATAACTTAGTGAACTAAGGAACAGATCATAAGCCCTGACACATGCATTTGACAATTGTTTTGTTTTATGTTTTTTTCTTAAAAAAATTAATGCAAACTTATATTGTTGAATTTGATAGCTGTTCTCTTCTTTATTGCTTCTTCGTCTACATTAAGTAATTGACATGTTTCTTTTGTTTTTTAACTACTCATTTATTTTTTGCATGTGTGCGGGCGTGTTATTGTGTTGCTCTGTTTTTTTTTTTTTTTGTCGCTCATATTTAAACTTACTGTTTTAATTCAAGTATTTATTCTAGCAATCGAATCTGATCACTTTTTGGATGTGGGGTTTCGAAATTAGATTCAGTTATGTACTTTTTGGTATGTTACTCTCATGTTTCTCAAATTGTTAATTGGTTTTATGTTTGATAACGTGATGGTTTTTAAGTACTGAACCTGTTTTTTTTTTTTTTTTTTGCTTTTAGGGTTTTCCAGTGCGAATTCATAATTATCACCACATTGTTGCATGCTTTCCTTTTCACTTTGTTAGATATCTTGATCTTGATGTGGTGGTTGTGTGTGTGGGTGGGGGATTGGAATCTTTGCTCGGTGAATGTGTTATAAGGTGAGGAGATCATATGTAGTTTGTGGACTAATGACCGTTGTCCTTTTATTTCTTTTTTCTCGTCCCCTCTCCGAGCAATCACTATAGTCATTATTTGTGTATGAGTTGCCGCATTCCTCTTCAAATCTTTCTTCGTAAAATTATAATCCAGGTTTCCCCTTATAATTTCTTTCACAATGTAATTTCAGGTTCAGTGAGATCCCTTCTGTCCAAGGAGTGATAAAGCTTGGGATTGTGAACTACCATTTTTAATGAGTTACAAATAGTGGTTCTGGTTTGAGATAGACAGATGAAGAAACTATTCTTTTTCAGATCTTCTTCCTCCACTGCTGGAAACAACAATACTAGTTCTCCACCGTCTGCAGATAAACAAGTTTACTGGGAGGCACCATTCCAAGGTAAGCCAAACAATCACAATGATGATAATGTTCAGTGTAATTTTTGGAGCCTAAGGGGACTATTGTCAAAATCAGGAAAGCAAGCATATGATAACCAGAGAACCAGCAACAGCTTGGGTCTTAGAAGGAGCCGCTCATTGTCATCAGCTGCCTTTCTTGATGATGGGAAGGGGAAGGGGAATTTTCCTTGCATAGATCAAGCCAGAACTCCTCCTAGCAGTTCTAGTGGTGCTCATCAGCAACATGATCGCTCATCTCAGTGAGAATTTTGATCCCATTAATATCACATTATAAGGATGCATCTCAGATTATTTAGTGATCTTGAATACAAGTTTGTTTGCATATAACTCCTGTACACTTTCTTTTTGAATTGCTTCCTGAGGTTAATTCAAATGTTTTCCAATTTAACACAGCAGGAACAATCTTTTTCCTGAGAGGCGAGCCAAAACAAAACGATTTGAAGTGGCAGCTACTGGCCTAGAGAGATCTGGTTATTCCAATCCCCATCATTATTCATCAGGAAATTCTACTTCTAGTAACGTCTCAAGTAAAGTTGTGGATCGCTACATTGATGGAGAACAGCAGCAGGAAATGAGCAAGCCCAAAAATGGTTCACAGAGAAGTTTTATTGGAAGCAGAAATGCCGATGGAAAACTTCCTCCACGAGTCCAATACACAGCCCCTACTTCACCAATGGATAACATCAAAGATAAGCCCAGGTCTCACTCATTTCGGGAATATGGAGGGACTCGGCAGAAGTTTTCTTCAAGAGATTGGGTGGCTAAAGGATTTGGCCATGAATCTCCACGGAAACTTGCAAGAAATGTCATGGAGAGACTCTCCCTGGGGCGTTCTTATCCAAAATCAAGTCCAAAGGAGTTCGCCTGTGATATTCCAATCACAATTGAAGATGTCTATGGTGGATCAATGAATTCATGTATGGATGTTCCTGCCCGAAAAAGTTACTCACTGGAGGAACCTTGTGAAACCAATAATGGGTACAATGGTGATGATTTCTCAGGTTATCAGAAACCAAATTACTTCCTTGGAGATGAATTTGAGGATATGAACTCTGTCAGTAGAGAAGACATGGTAGATGTGGAATTACAACAAAGATCTAAGGAAGCTGAGGAGAGGATTGTTCTTCTTTCTGAAGAGCTTGAGCAGGAAGGCTTTCTCCAAGATAGTCGATTTGATGCTCCACTGTTGATGCAGACTATTCAGAGCTTAACAGAGGATAAGTTAAGCTTGGCAATTGAGGTTTCAGGTCTTCTGAAATCTCGAATTGCTGACAGGAATTCTGCCAAGGAAGGTTTTCAATTAGCAAAGGCAGAATGGGAGGCAAGGAACCGAAGATTAGAGAAGGAGAAGAATGAATTGCAGACAGCCTTGGAGAAAGAACTAGACAGAAGGTCGAGTGACTGGTCATCAAAGCTTGAGAAATGTCAGTTAGAAGAGCAAAGGCTTCGTGAACGGGTTAGAGAGCTTGCAGAGCACAATGTTTCACTCCAGAGGGAAGTATCTTCTTTTAGTGAGCGGGAATCAGAAAACAAAAGTGTGATAACATATTCCGAGCAACAACTCAGGGACCTGACCTCAAAGGTGGAGGAGGTGAGTGATGAGAATCAAGATCTGAAACACAATCTTTCTGAATTGCAAAAGAAGTATGCAGTGGCAGAAGAAGATCAAGATTGTATTAAAAGGAATTTTGAAGAGAAGAACAAGGAGTGCAAGGATTTGCAAAAATCCATTACAAGATTATTAAGAACCCGCAGTGATCAAGAGAAGACAATTGAGGGTTTACTGGAAAACTTTAGTGAGGAAATTGAAAAGAAGTCACCATTGGACAAGTTTGATAAGAATGTGACACGATTGCAAATGGAGCAACTGAGGTTGACAGGATTAGAACTGGCTCTCAGAAGGGAGGTGGAATCTTGTAGACTTGAGATTGATTCCCTTCGTTATGAGAATATAAACTTATTGAAGCGCTTGAAGTGTAATGGTGAAGAGATTGGTGCTTTAACTTTCAAGCTAGATAAGGAAATGTGGACACGAACTTGCTGCCTGCAGAATCAAGGATTGTCTATGCTGAATGAGAGCACTCAGCTTTCTTCCAAGTTATTGGAAATCATCAAAGGGAAAGTGGGCAGCCGCTTTCAAGAAAGTAAGAAGGGTATGGAAGTTTTGGGGAATGGTTTAGATGAGCAGTTTATTGTTGAATCTGATATGAAAATTCAGGGCTTTAAGCGTGGAACTGAAAGCTTAACAAGGAGTTTGCAGACAATATCTTGTTTACTTCAGGAGAAGTCCAATCTTGGTGCTTCAAAATCTCAGTCCCCAAGCAGTAATGTCAATGGCTCTGGGAAACTTAACCATCATATCCCAGAGGTAGGCTACTGCTTAAATTTGTTCTTGTGACATGCTCATCTTTTGGTTTCTGTGGAGGATGGTCATAATGCAAATGTATTTTCATTTGATTTGAATTTGCTTTTTAGCGACAATTATTCAGTATGTTAAATTAAGTTGATCTTTGATTTGGGTATTGAACAGTTGACTATTGGAAAATTTGATTCCAACCCTTGATGCTATTATTGATTTCCCTTTCATCTTCACAGGAATCTTTGAGATTTGAACTTAAAGCTGAAACTTTGCTTACAAGTCTGTTAACAGAGAAGCTGTACTCTAAAGAGTTGGAGCTCGAGCAGTTGCAAGCTGAACTAGCAACAGCAGTGAGAGGTAATGACATCCTTCGATGTGAAGTCAACAATTCGTTGGATAACCTTGCTTGTGTCTCTCATCAACTGAAAAATCTTGAACTTCAGGTATTCCTAGATCCCAACTCTGCAGAAAAAACCTTAAGTTACATATCACTTTAAATATTCATTTACACAGGGTGCTTTGTAAACATTGCTTGTGCTAAATGCATGTACAAAAGCACTTAATTTCAAGCTGATGCATTCACTTGAAGGGTTAAGGTCTGAATTGATTTGGTCAGCTCGTAGTGTCCCCTAAGTTCTTTTATATGCACGCCTACCTAACCTGTGATTTTGTTGAGTTGGGCTTCTGTAACCTGAAATTTCCCCTGTGGAGGTGGAGTGATGTGCTGTCCTTGTGTAGCTGGTGATTTTATGGAGATATTCACTTCATTTCCAATGGATAGTGAAACTGGCATGAGGTCATTGTCTGCCCTCGTTTTCCCATAATTGTTTTTGATCACCATCCTTAAAACTGGTTTTTCTGTGAATCATTATCCTTTAATTTAAAAGCAATGTGAAATTGTTATTCTAAATGTTGCTTTTTATGGTTTTGCTTTTAGTTTAGTTCCTTTGCTATGGCATAATTCGATTTTATTGTTCATTAAAGACTAATTTTGTTATGATGGACATCTGTGGCATGTTTACTCCCTTTCCTTCTTTGGTTCTTACCCTGATCGGCTTAGCATTTTCTGTCATAATTCATGAGAATAAATTTCTACTAAAACCATTTAAAGATTTTTCCTGTTAAATAGTTTTTATCTTTTTTGGGATACCAAAAGCCAACCAGACATGATCTTTTGGCACAACACTTTGTCAGACATCAGCAAAGAAGTATAATGAAGTGCTGTACCTGATTTGCAGTGCGATGTCTTTTGAATTTCTCTTGCTGTCTTTGTACCTTCACGTTACTTGGGAGCTATTGTTATGCCTTCAAACTTTGGTATCCAGTGTACAGTTAGGACAATTAAACAGACTCGTTTTTTCCTTAATAATTATATTTCATAAGAAATTATTTAAAGCCTGTTGGTAACTGCAGCTGTCTTATTTTTTTGTCATGACCTTTTGGTGTCCTATAATATAACTAATGTAATTGTCTTTTTAACAGATGCTGAAGAAGGATGAGAATGTAGATCGACTTCAAAGTGACCTCCAAGCATCCGCAAAGGAATTAGCAACAACTAGGGGGGTATTGGCCAAAGTTTCACAGGAGAGAGATATTATGTGGGAGGAAGTGAAACAGTTTAAGGAGAAGAATATGCTATTGAATTCAGAGATTAATGCATTGAAGAAGAAGATAGAGGCCCTAGAAGAAGATATTCTTCTTAAAGAAGGTCAAATCACAATCTTGAAAGACACCCTAGGCAGCAGGCCGTTTGATCTCCTAGGTAGTCCTAGTTGTACACGAGAATTCTTGCTAGAATGATTGCGAGGAAGCAACCTTTTCTTTTTGGTTAGGGTGTGCAGACACTGTCCATAGTTTGAAATTGTGTTCTTCGGGTTTCTTTACATTTCTTATACCTTTCCGTTTCTTTCCTCCATTTCCTTACTGGAGGCTTTGATGGCTAAAGGTGTTAAAAGGTTGGAAAAATTCACACTCTGATTCTTTGTGTAATTGTATGTAGTTGGGGTTTCCTTGTTCCTTCTCTTATAGCCATGAATTGGTCTTAGCAATTTTGATTCTCTCTCCCGTTCTGAGTGTGTGTTTGTGGTTCAGCTTGCTCAGTGTGATCAGGAGAAATTGGTTCTGGTTCCAATGTTGGTTTTATCCCTCAACAATTTGTTTCCAAATTTTTGCTGGGAGTACAATATATTTAACATAGGATTTTGGTGCGGAGCTCAAGATCTGTTGTCATCTTGAACTAACTATTTATTCTTGATTCCTTTACTAAAACTTGCTGGCAAATACATCGGGGCCTCAGGATGCAACCTGGAATCGGCAAGTCACAGGTCAGACGATGGTAGCATATTTTCATTGATGACAAATCCTAAAGCTGGACCTTTTGTTGATACAGTTGTACTGTTTCTTGTGATGGGATCAGTTAGGAGCCGATGTTGTGTCCTTTTTGGTGTCCTTGCCAATAATTGGATAGCATTAGAATTCAAACTCTCACAGCTGTGGAACCCACCTATTACAGGTCAAAGAGAACGAGGTTGATGCCGCCATAAACAAGCCAGGCACTGAAAAGGTTGTGTTAGTTTGCTTCACCTCGTGCTGGAGGTATGAACAGAAAATAAATTAATAGCTTGTTTGGTTTTTTTTTTTTAAATTGTTATTCATATGCTTCACCGAATTTGATCATGAAATCTCGATTTTTACGTGTTGTTCTTGCAAGGGCCAGAATCGCTTGGCGTTAAGCTCCCCAGGATTTATTTTTACAAATAAAGTTTTTTATCGAGAAACTAAAGAAAAAAGGAGTTAGATGCTCTCGCTTATATCAAAATAAATATTAAAGATATGTTTGGCTATAAAAAAATATTGTCATCTCGTTACGACAGTAACTTTTGTTTTCCGTGTTATGATCAAAATGCTTGTTAATCTAAAAATTAATTTTTTTTAGTATTTTTAAATTATTTTAATATCTAATATTAAAAATAATTTTTTTTAAATATCATTTATTTTCATATAGAAAAAAATAGTTAACCATATTTCAGTGTCACATGACAATACGTTTGACTAGCAGTCTCCCTCAAAGCTTGCAAAGGGAGGCATAAAACCTTCTTTAGAGTGACTGTAATCAAACCAACACCACACACTATCAATCACAGATGTTCTTAAACGTTTATATTAGAAACTAGCACTAAATCACCACTACTTTCTTGACGAAGAAGCCTTAACCCAACCTGATCATCAGATTAAGTTGTCATGTGCTGAACCTGACACAGATTTGATCTTTTGTGTCAACAGATGAGGCAAGCTGTCTCAATCTCAGTTGAATATGAAGAATTTTTGGATGATAATGCTTTAGGGCTAACAATCCTGGCCAGGCATTCAATGGCCAAACAGTAATGATGGCTACAATTAAAGTGACCGGAGAGCTTGCTCTCCTCATCAAGCTCTCCTCATCGAGACTTCTAAAATGGTTTCTTGGTTATAGTTATCTGTACATTGAGGCCTCTATCTCTATCATGATTCTTCCAAGCATCCTCTGATAGTGACTTCCACTGCTATTTTTTTATTTTTATTATTAATATGGATTGTAGATAATTTGTGTATATTTTCACTAATTTTATAAATTTTAAAATTAAAATAATTTTAAAATTTATAAAATTCGAAATAGTAATTTTTTAAAAATAAATCTAGATGAACTCTCATAATTAACTTCCCCTGCTATTTCATTTGCTTTCTGCTTGCCCTTCTCAAGGGAATGGCGTTGCGCTCCAGTCCGTGAGGCACAAGGATACAGTAAACACAAAAACATGGAGAGTAATCCTTGTTAACACCGCCTAAAAAAACCGCGATTTTTAGTCAAAGCAACCAACTGTTGTATAAATGTTAACAAACCTTAGCTCTGCATTATCAGGATTTGATGCAGCCACCGGATTAGCTCTTAATCTTTCCGGGGAGCCTTCGCCGCCCTCCATTTCTGTGATAATTAACATCACCATAGAAACAAATTTGTCAAATAAATGCTTTTCTCGTTTCAATTGTTTCAGCATTTATTCACACAATTACAGGCATTGCTGACCAAAAACAACAGAAGGAGACATGAATGCATTTCACAATTAAAAAACACAATAAAATAAAAATCCACAATTAGAATTACAGTGATAGATTCTACACTAAAGCATGAAAAAAATCCCTTAAATAAGAAAATAAAAAAAAATCCACAAACCACAATGTAATTAACTATAAAAACCGTTTTCATTGGAGAAATTGAAGGGATTCAGCAAGAGACCAGAAGAGGAAACGTTACTTTGAGCTGCCAATTTTTTTTTTTTTTAAAAGACACCTCCACATTGTCACTGCCAATTACTTTGATATATTTTTATGTAAAAAATATTTTAAAATTAACCACCAGTTATACTTCACTGAATTCCCCGAGTCCACCACTCCTAAACCACCGATAGTCGAGAACAATTTGTTTCTCGTGAAAGTCACAACAGAGATTAGCATTGAATTAAGTAGGCATGCCCAGCTGTAGAGTGAAAGTATCCTGCTACAAAAGCAAGGGCGAAATGAATCTCTGTTTGCAAAACGAAAGCCCTCTGCTGCTTTCTTCTTCAAACTCCTTCGATGTTGATGCCATACATTAATAGTTGCAGGCTCGCAGCCATAAACCACAACATTTACTTGAAATATTCACAATGAGGAAAGCAAAATGTTATTATTCTGGAGTCTCTAACAGTACTACAAATGCAATTAGAAAGTGTTTGATTTTAAATTTCAACCTGTTTTTTATTAAAATTTAAATTTAAATCGATATGATATGTTAATATCAAAAATAAATTTTAAAAACTAAAAAATATATATTATTTTAATATATTTCAAACAAAAAAATTATAATTTAACCAAGCGCATGGTCGCTGAAAAATGACATTAGAACTTAATTTGATGTTATTTTAATGACTCTTATCATCCTTGATATGGAAGTAAGAATATAGATCATGGTTCCTTGAATCGTATGCCACAACAAGAGTTTGATGCAAGCTTGGCGGCACATTGTCTGGACAAAATAGCACAGATGGAAGGCATAATGCCTTTCCTTGGAGGCTGGGGGAGATACATATATATATTGTTGTTCCTTTCTTGCAGCTGGTTCATCCATTGGGGTTTCCTTGACTGGATGATCATAGAGATGCAGGTTTCCAGAACTCGATGAGCTTCCTTTGCTGGAAGTATAAGAGATTGCATTTCATTACAAATATGAGAACTTAAATAGAATGAATACACGCACCTGTAACCAAAAACACACACACACACACAAATACCGACGCATGATTGTATTATGGATTCACATGTGCAACTACAAAGGCATTAATATACAAATACTCACCCAAGACCACACACAGTGACACCTGCACCTACGCAAGGGCAGGACACATGCATGCATGCCAAGCTGAGTTTGAGTATACAGATGCTTACAGATTCTAATTCTGGCAGTAGAAAGGGGCATGGGGGAGGCCACTTGCTAAATTGACAGGCAGTACCAGGCCCAATGTGGCTCAAGCAGTGAGGTTAGACTCTAACTAGGCTATAGTTCAACATCAACCCAACCCACCCTAACAGACGCAAGGCCCTGACGTGCCACAATTACAAGCGAAACAAATGAATCAAGCACCAGCAGTGTGGACCTGGTCCAAACTTCAAGTGCTTGTCCCTAACCTACAAAGCAGATTGGTCATCAATCCAGGCTCAACTTTATATATGCATGTCTTTCCGCATCAAATCTCTCCGGGGCGAGGCCACTCTTGAAAACTAGAGGGCTGCCTGGCTATTTCTACATCTTTGATTGCCATTTCTCCCCCTCCAAATTTTATTTTAGTTGCCTTAAATAATCGTTAACTTTTAATCAGTCTCGTATCCTAGAGTGGAATTTACCTTAGAGTGGAATTTACCTTAGCAATTGGTATTTTTGCTCTTGCTGAATCAATCAATGAGAAATCAATATCAGCCACAGTAATCCCTGTTGAAATGCGATCTGCAAAGAAAAAGCAAAACAAGTTAGTAATCAGTAAATTCATCAAACATGCTAATGGTCTGTAAACCAAAGTACCCAGCACATACAATAACCACAAGATAGGGAAGAAGAAGAGGAAAGGAGTAGAGGAAATTATCTGAGTCTGTTGAATGAAAACAAATAACATGTAGTACAAATAGAAATGCATTTACAATATCGAGACTTTTCATTCAAGGATAGGAAGAAGTGCTAGAACAAGAGACAGTAATTCTTACCAGGCAATCGACCAACAACAGTTCCCCAAGGATCAATTATTAATGTGTCACCATAGCTTTCTCTTTTTTCATTATGCTTTCCAGCTTGGGCAGCAGCTATCACCTGACATGGGAAAAGAATTACAATTAATTGTGCGTGGTGGACACAAATTCATAATTCTTTTAAGACACAAATGAATTCATACATAGCATTGAGTCTCGATTGCACGAGCACGAAGCAAAATCTCCCAGTGTGCCTGACCAGTTATTGTTGTAAAAGCAGAAGGTACCAATAAAATCTGCAAATGATAATAAATGCTTCAAGTTTTAGATTCTTAAAGTCAATTTATACCAGAGAATACATAAACTGAATTATACCTGGGCTTCATGATGGAATCTGAGCTGCTGGTATAACCCTGGGAATCTCAGATCATAGCAAACTGATAAACCCAGGCGTCCAACAGGGCTGTCAACTGCTACTATATCCTTTCCTGGAAACATAATTGATATAGATGGGTTATGCACAGAAATTTGTGTCAAGAGGCACTAACTAGGAACAAGGGAGATGAAAATGCTAACAGGACGGGAAAATTTTACAGATGCATTACACATGGCTAATTCTTATTAGAAAACTGTATGAATTCAAAAGCATGGATCCAAGAAAAATAAATTAAAATTATTGGAGGGTCTTCATCAAAATCATCCAGAAAGCATGCCACGTTAGTCATATTGGCTGGCAGTCACTTGTTTTTCCATAGATTTGCAAGCATGAGGTTATGAATGCAAAAACATAAAAAACAATCTATTATCCATAGGAACCTTCGTACACTGAACCAAAAGCAGGTGTTGGCAGGCCAAAACACATAAAATAAGATATTTGTTTATTCAACATGCAAGTCCAACACATGGATGAAGAGTTCGAGCCTATTTGAAAGTATGATGGAGATTGGTTTCCAAA